ATTTGATTTTTGTGTTGACCATCCGGAGATGTCCATCTGCATTCACCAACTTTTGCTTCCAATTATACAGTCTATTTGATTTTTGTGTTGACCATCTGGTGATGTCCATCTTTTTGGTATTTTTGCTATTTATACTTCACACAAATATATTTATGAACAAACTTGTGTTGGTAGCTCCACAGGGAAAGCATTTCTTGAAACCTAAGGGCTCCAAGGAAAGGCATAAATGTGGGAGGTTGAGCAATCAATGTTTAACAGGAAAGTAGTAGTAGTAGTTGTTGTTGTTTCCCAATTCAATTGTTTTGTAGCTGGAAGGGGGGAGCCCCTGCTGGTTTAATAAAATATATAGTGATTTATTTTCAGGTTGGATATAGATTTTGAGCAGGGATATGGATGCTGAGAGCAATGTTCAGAAATTACTCCAGCGAGCCTGAAACAGACAAGGAGGAACAGCTCCCATCAGAATGGACTATCAAGCAGCAGAATGGATCAGAAGATACAGCAGGGCTTCCTCCCTTTCTTTCTGTGCTGCTCTATGTCCATAATAAATATTCTATTCTGTTCCTGCCTTTCTTTTCCTTTCTCAAAAGATGCTGCTTCAGTGTATCCAGGCTGTCCTCACCTAGCACATGAGAGGAGTTCACTAACAGCATGTGGCACTGGGCTCAGTGTTCCCTCTCACCCTAAAAAGCAGTGCTGGAAAGAGCAGATCAGGAATCAAATGGGTTCTTTATAAGGAGAGGGTAACCCACAGCCTTACATGGTGTTTCTTGGGCTATATCTCCCATGGAAAAAAGAAAATGTGAGATCGAGCATGTGTTCTTCACTGACTCTCTGTACACAAAGAAAAAAAAACACATTCCACAGAAAAGCAAGCACTACACAAAGAATCAATTTCAAAACTATGTTTACGCAGTCAAGACATACCTTCTTAAACATGCATGCCACATTCCATAACATCTTTTATAAACACACCAGGAGTCGTTGAAGGGTTAATGAGTAACATTATCCTTGCAGGGTTAATGAAAGAACATTAAACTTGATTGGAGACGATAGAGATTCTAAGTGTCTGTAGAGGCATGAAGGTTTCCACTGTCTATCTCTCTCCCAAACCTACCTCTCAGGGTTGCTGTGAGATAAAATGTCTGAAGCTCTTGTATGTTGTCCTAGGCTACTTAGGAGATGGTTGGTATACAAATGTGATAAGTACTGGTAGTAACAGCAGCAGCAGTTATGCAGTATGAATGGCTGAATATTCTGGTAGGCTCTCATGCCAAATCACCTTCCTTCCCAACATTCAGCCTAGGAATTGCCATGTCTTCTGGCCTCAATGTGGCAAAGCATTTAAAAGTTCATTTTATCACATAAGTGTAAGAGCAAGTGTGACTCTTCCCTGCCCTGAAGGGTTAAAATGTGTGGGTGGGACTGAGCATTGTCAATCTGTAGAATAAGTCCTATAGATGGACTCTTGTTCACACAGCAAATTAGCAAATCGACCACAAACTAGCCATATCCATCTGTAATACAAGAGGTCCACCACGTTAAAACCCAAAACATTTTAAACAACAACAAAGGTGCCAGGATCTGTTGGAGCAGAAATGGATTGAGAAGGGGAAGGGGGATGGAGAAAATTCTTCTCAGTTATTGGCATCAACCTGTCCCAAGAATTTCACACAAGCCTGTCACATCTGCCAGAAAAGATCTTCTCAAAGAAGATTGGGAAAGACCACATAAATAAAACAAAGAGAATGAATAAATAAATAAAGGACCTTAAAGAATCTATAAAGACTGCTTGATGTCAAACAAGACCCCTTGGGGAAAGGTAACTGGCAGCAGCCTGAAGCAGCCTCCGGGGGGGGGGGGGCAGGGGGCTTGATGCCCATGCCCAGTGCCCTGTCAAGATCACACTGAACAGAGATACTGAGCAGGTGGGGGGAGGGACACAGGAGGTACAGGCATGTTACCTCCCTTTCCTTCTTGGAGCATAGTGACCTTCCTGTCACTGCCAATCATCTTTGCAACTGTGGACTCAGGGAAGAAACCAGAGCAGATAAACTTACTACCCATCATATAAACAGAAGAAGGGGAGAGGAGGGAAGAAAAGGAGAAAAGCAGCCTAATGGACTGATGCTCCAGTGCTCACTGGAAATCAAGTGAATACAGGGAGGTGAGCATGTGGAGGGGGGACACTTTGCAGAAAAATTACACTTGCTCTCCCCTCCCCCCAGTAGTGGAGAGAAAAGGCAATCGAAAGCAATTACACCAGCCCCTCCATGTTTGCACAAGGGGTGCCAGATGAATGGTGCCTCATTCGGAAGGGACTCAGATTCATCAGGACAACAAGCAGCTCCAGACAATGGTTGCCCACAAAGGAGAAAAGGAAAAGTGAGATGAAAGAATCTGAGCTGATACAAACAAGGGAGCCTGCAGAGCCCAGCCAAACAAACAATTGACATTGTCTGTGCAGCAGGCTGGAATAACAACATTTGATACCCAAGACACACTCACTGCACTTGAACTATTGTGAGACTAAAAAGCTGCAACAATATCAGGGATAAGGATGCTACTGTGATTCAGAAAGCTGAATGCCATTCGAAGCCCAGAAGATCCAGCAAATTGGGATGATTTTACTAAGCGTTTGCAAACAATTTCTTTTGGTATCTGAAAACACACACTGTAAAGAACATGTGAGAAAGTTCAGTTATTCATCCTCTTAGTTTTTGTGTGAGATGCATCCACTGGAGCACAACAAACTTAACCTTTGGGATTGGTCACTCAGACTGAGCCCACGCTACAGACCTTCTGCAAAGTCAATTAAATAACCAACCTATTAATCAAGCCATTGAATAAATAATTATAAAGTCTCACCAATTCTAGGGAGAAATAAAACTGTCAGCATTTGAACTGGCACAACAGACACAGCACCAATATTAACAGATGTGCTGACTCACCAGTGTCAGAACAACATTTGCGTTAGGGTTACTGTAAGTTGGGATCAACTTTAAGGCACACGGTAAATAAATAAATAACAACATCATCATCAACAACAAGAATTCAGAAGAGGCAGACATGCAGCATGCTTAGATCTGCTTAAAAATGATTCTTAAGGGATAATGTCTTGAAAAACAAAATCAAATGGTTTTTTATGCACAGATAGTGTGTACATATATAAAAGAGGAAGAGATAAGCACACAAAGATAGATGGATCCTGTATATAATCTACACCACTAACCATTCTGTCCATTTGACTGTTTCACCCCACAAAGCTGACAGCAATAGAGTGACTCAGAATCTGCTTGATCTGTAGGGAACAAATTATTCACAAAACTCTTGCAAATTGTTAAGCCATGTGGCAGCGCATATAAAATGAGAGAGTAAAAAAGAAAACTCAGCCCTCTGCTTGGCAAGATGATTGGGAGAAAGCATTAAACTGGGGGGGGGGGGAACGGAAGATGAAAGATTAAAAATGTCAACAAGAGAACAACATTGCTAACATCCATGTTCCAATCCAAGGATCTACCTGACACAGTGACTCAAACCTGTAAAATGAAAGTGCCTTAGAAGAGTAAACCTGTCACTTCAGCAAGCACTGATTTTATACCTAATTTTGTTTACAATAGCAAGAGAGTAGTCTCTTGTGTAGACATCTGATCCACCACTAGCAGCAGTAATACAACTGTATCAGAAGTCACCAATTACATGGAGTCATGGGTATTCCCACCTACCAGTTGAAACGATCACAGAAACAAAATCCTTGGGAGTTTTTTTTAATGAATTTTGTTTGCACCTACAATGGAAACAGACATAAATGGTACACACGCTCACAAGAAAACTTCACCCTGGCACAAGATCCGACAATGCAACAAGGGAATGAGGAGATGCTTCCAAGAAAGAAAAGGTAGTGCCTTGCCAAGCATGCTAGCTTTGCAATGAGTGTGACACATAAATGCCTGGAAGCATCTTGACAAGCAAAAAGTAATTTTTACATATAACATAAGGTTCAAATGTGTTTTGGATGCCAAATGCTAGTTCTCTTTCAGCTGGTAGATGAAACTGAAGGGTCTCCAGTACAAAACCCTTTTTACACAGAGAAACTAAATGGCAGGGTGAAGGGGTTCTAGCCTGCAACTCCCAAACATGCCAGTTTGGAGAACCAGAAGGGCAGTATGGTTTGGTTTTGTTGGTTTCTTTTTTTCCCCTATGGAGGAAGGCTCAATTGTGGGAGGCCCACCACCACTAGCCTCTTGTGCTAGGCCTCTTTCATAGGCTTATTTCTTCAAGCAAGAAATAAGACATGTTGTGAAAGTCTAGCTTCCTATTTATTATTGTAATTGGTTGGTCACGGTGGGACAAGAGAGGATTTCAGATTGATCCAGAAGGGCTGTTATGTTCCCAAGAGCACTCTCTGCTAAACACTATGGTCTACATGTGGAGAGGTGAATCATGAGTATCTCCAAGACTGTACTTCTCACCATCATTTGTCACAACATTTCTCACCATCAACTATGCTGGCTAGGGCTGCTGGGAGTTGCAGTCCAATGCCTTTTGGAGGGCTGACAGATTCTTACCTTTAGTATGACTATACCTGTGTCTCAGATAAAGTGCATTAGTGGAAATTTTATACCTTTCTTCTAGGGAGCTGGTGATAGCATACAAGATCTTCTGAGTTCATTTCATCCTCATGAAACTGGCCCATCTGCACAACCCCTATTTTGACTGGTAATGACTTTTCAGAATCTTTTCCATCACCTCCCACCCAATTCTTTTAACTGGCAATTTTAGGAACTAATCAAGAGGTGTTGCATGCATGACCTCTGAACCACATCCATGTTGTTGTGCTGTTATTGTTGTTGTTATTTGTCTTCAACTCATTTTTTACTTATGGTGATCCCAAGGCAAATCTATCATGTGGTTTTGTTGGCAAGATTTGTTCAGACAATGTTTGCTATTGCCTTCCTCTGAGGCTGAGAGAGCAGTGACTTGCCCAAGGTCACCCAGTGTGCTTCATGGGGAATTGAACCCTGATCTCCAGAGCTGCAGTCCAACACTCAAACCACTATGCCATGCTGGCTCTCCCTAACTACATCCATCCTAGAAGATAAGCACATAGCTTTCCACTTCAACAGTATTCTTAAGGACACCCCTTACTTTGTCCCATATAAGTGAATTTGTTGTTATTGTTTTGTGCCTTCAAATAATTTCCAACTTATGGCAACCCTAAAACGAACCTATCTCGTAGCTTTTGTGGCATGATTTGTTCAGAGGAGGTTTGCCATTGCCTTCCTGTGAGGATGAGAGCATGTGACATGTCCAAGGTCAACCAGTGGGTTTCATGACTGAGCTGAGAATCGAACTCAGAGTCATAGTCTTACACTCAGACCATCCACCACGCTGGCTGTAAACTGCCCTCAATTTCTATGCAGAGAGGGCTGGATGAAATTTTTGATGATACTATTATAGTGAATAATGGGTACATTCACTGATACAGATTTCATCAGGATGGTAGGGGTGGGGGTGGAGGCAAACAAATCACCACAGATACACCAGATTTTAATAGTGGTTTTTAGAAAAATAAAAGTGCCACATCTAAAAATTGCACACATGAAGGGAAGGGGAGAGGAGGAAGGGCAACAACATCAAAACCTAATCCTGGGGTGGCACATTACATTTCCTATACCTGGTAACAACATTTTTACTATGGAGATGGAGAGAACCTCAGTTGTCTTTTCCCATGCTACAAACCTTCCCTATTCTTTTCCAAGAATATTTAGCTATTAACAAGATTAATCTATCAAAAAGTTCCTACTCCATTTTTTGTATCCCATTCTATACCTCTTCCCCCCCCCCCTTTTAATTTAATTTAATTTAATTTTGAGGACAGGAGCCAAAATTGTACAGACCATTAGAAATGGGTCAGTTTAAGATGATCTCTGTGGCCACTTGCAGAGCCCTAAAATGCACACGTCACGTGAACGCTGCTTTCAATAATTAAATACTACAGCATAGAAGTACTTTCAGAATCTAGTATGAATACAGCTGGGGATGCCTAGATTCATTTCTGTTCTGCTATAGCCTTAACGTGTGACCTTTCAATTCAATCAGCAGCAGATATCTTGAAACTACAAAGGGCCCTTGGGCATCTGATTTTCATGAAAATTCACAGGAGCTATGGGACTAAACATGCCCTTTTAACCTTTAAAAAAAATCTTTCTTTTAATCTCACTGCCCTTTATTTCCCTTGCTACAGGAAGAGTGATACAATTTCTTTTGTCTCTTCCATTAGAGACTGTAAGGACAAACACATCAAACGTGAATAAAACAATGAGACTTGTGGCATCTCAAAGACTAACATACTTTCCTTGACATAAGCTTTCGTGGAGTACAGCTCACTTCATTTGATCTATCACTCAAAAGCTGGTGTGAAATAAAACTTGTTAGTCTTTAAGGTAGCATAAGATTCCTGTTGTGTTTACAACAGACTAGCAGGGCAATGCCGCTACAAATTAAGTGACAGTGTGACACTTGTGAACAGTAAAGCAACAAAAGGCAGATAACAAGAGCAAAGCCATTGATCCCAATTCCCTGCATTGGAACAGGATGCACATTGACCTGTTTTGACATTTATCCATTGGATAGAAGGGAAAAAAACTGTGTATAACTTTATAACAGGGACCGGCAACTACGGCCCGGGGGCCGATTAAGGCCCTGGTCCCTGGACTTACTGGCCCAGGCTGAAGGTTGCCGCCGCTGCGGCGGTGCTTTTTTGCTGCTCTGCGGCTACGCTCGCCGCAAGCGCGACATGTTTGTGCATGTGCAGTACTCTTGCGCATGCGCAAACGCGTCACGACTGCCATTTTGATTTCCAAAATGGCAGCCGTGACATGCGCTGCGGCGGCTGCGGCCGCGCGCGCTGCGGCAGCAGTAGCAGTGTGCGGGGGGGGTCGCGCGCGGAGGAGGAGGGGGCGCGCGCTATCATTCCCCCCCCACACCTCGGCCCAGCCGAGACCTGGGCTACGGGAGACCGGCCCAGGTCTTAAAAAGGTTGCCTTCCCCTGCTTTATAACCTTGAATGCACATCAAGCTCCCCATATGTGTCCCATTCCAACCCCTACATTTTAAGTGGCAAATACTATTTTGTTTAGTGTGCTTATTTTCACTCACATGTTCAAGTACATCCATACTTTAACATCTTATAAAGAATTAGCCCTCCTCCTCCTCCTCCTCCTCCTCCTCTTAGGCAGAGGCTTGTAGCAGGTTTGTAGAAAGATTGTTTTTAATGAATTGTAGTATATTTAATGTTTTAACTTTATAAATGTTTTTTTTAAATCTTATATTTATACTTCGTTAATGCTCTTGTAGTTTTTACTTTGTATTGTTTTAAATATGTTGTTAGCCACCTTGAGTCCAATGACTGAGAGAAAGGCAATAACCACAATAACCCCCACCACAACAATAATAGCTTTTAAACTTTTGCATTGTTCATTGTTTTAACTGCATTGATTTTGATTGATCTGATTTTAAATTATATTGTGAACTGTCTTGTGTCTCATAAAGGGAGAAAGGGAAGATACAAAATAACCTAAACCAATCCAAACCAAACCACAATCCTGTAAGATTTGACCAAAAAAAAAAAAAAAAAAAAAAAAAAAAACAGGAGTAGAACAGCTGCATTTTCTCCAGTACAGAATGTTCTTTGCTTTCCAAAAGAATTTAAGTGGGAGACACTGGAATAGTGATTCACCCCTAAATATGTCCACAATGCTATGTCACAAAATGTGCATATTTAGTAACTGCCTGAGCAAACAATGAGTATACGTTTGTTACTTCAGCCTGTTCTTCTCTCCTTCCCTCAGAAGCACTGGGAGGCATTCAGGACACAAGACAGTCTCTATAGCAACACCCCCATAGAAAATCTAAAGTGGATGTGGCTATGTTGCACTAAAACCCCACAAACTTGCTACAGTAATAGCTGATACACAGTTATAAACATAAGAATATGCTTCCATCTCCCCAAGTGCATTGGATGACATTTCAGGATTTAAGATAGCAGCACAGCGTATTTAACAGTTCAGAAGGACATCTTAGAAGCTTCTTTTCTGAAAGATGAACTTCAGTAAGGATGCCACAAAACAATAGCATTAGCCATGTGTTTGAATATATGTGAAGATCAATATGACTATTTTAATTATTAAGAATGAGGCACAGTGCTCTTCCACAAAGCGAGTGCATATTTTCTGCATGTCAGAGCCGAAATTAAGATGTTAATTGGCTAATATTTCTTTCAATAAACACAATATCAAAAGTGGTTCACGATCCATATTACAGACAAAAGGGATCTTGCTCTCAACAGAGGCACTTATAGCTTCCAGAACAATTTCTGTTTTGCATTCCTATGATATCCATTCACAGTCCCATACATCCACAAATAATGTCAAGCAAAACTGTACTTATACCAACTACCTTTCTTCAAAACAATCAGCCCTACTGAATGTTCAGAGGAGGACCACAAACTGAGCCCAAAGGCAGATACTCTAGTCTTCTGTATGTGCACTAAAGGTGAGAAACAGGGAGCGGACAAGGATGACAGTCACTTACTCCATTCCCTGCCTCCATGCAGGTAGGGGAATGTCTGAATACAGCTTATTGTGGACACGCATGGTGTCTCTACTCCCTGTATTTACTGAAGGTGGATACATCATGTGAATAGATATCTTGGGGAGGGGGATTCTGTGTTCCCCAAAGAAGGGCAAAGACAGTTTGGCCTAGATAAACAAGGTCACATCCAGGGGAGCAAGGCCTGTTAGGAATTATCAGGGCCTTGGATAGTATTTGTTGTTGTTGTTGCTGTGGTTGTGTGCCTTCAAATTATTTATGATTTATGGAGACCCTAAGGCAAACCTACCATAGGGTTCTCTGCAGCTGCCAGTGTGTGAGTTGCCCAAGTCAACAAGTGAGTTTTCATGGCTGAGAGGAAATTCAAACCCTGGTCTCCAAAGTTGTAGTCCAATGCTCAAACCACTGTGCCACACTGGACAGTACACTGGAGAGTACACTGCAGGAGAAAATGACTGGGTGTCCACTAATAGCTTCATAGGAGAGCATGTGCCACCAAGATAGTGCAGGATGACTGGCACACATATTTCAGAGGCTCTGGCATTGCTAAGAGTTAGCTGTAGCCTCCAAGAGGCTACAGATATTTCACAATACATGGCTGATAAGTAGAAGAAGCTTTGAGAGGATCACTTGTGGGCTGGATCAGGTGAAACAGGGCTGGACATTGAGTTAGTTCACTGACAAGCCCGAGTCAGACAAACAGGTAAGCAGAGAGCCAAAGAGAAGTACTGAGGTGATATTTTCAATATGTTGTTGAGATTGAGTAGTTGGGCCAAGGGAGAGGCCTATCAGAAAGAATATTACTGGATCCCCTTTGACACTCGATATATCTGGTCATATAACTGCAGTAGTGCCTTGTAACCCTCTGCAATATAGGGGTTGCACAGACTGGCCAAAAAGGCCAGCATCAGTGTGGAGTGGAGGCATGGCAGCTGCCACTGCCACACTGCCCGCCCATTTCTGCAGCACAGCATTTAGATACACTGCACCAAAGACATGTGGAAGAACCATGGCGATGGCAGCAAGGGTGGCTTTTTCCCGTTTCTAAAAGGAGCAGCATTTTGCTGCTTCTTTTGGGGGCATAAAAATGCTGGATTGGGGCCATGGTGTGTGGTTGCCATGGCCCCGATCCAGCAATCAAAGGGGTGGTGTCACACCACTCCTTTATGGTCATTTGTTTTGGCCCATAGTGCCTGAGCTCCATTATCTAGCAATTCTCATGGTGATGCAACAAGTAAAGCATCTGGGCCTAGCTGTCACTTCAGGACACCACCCCCATCCTCAAATACTTTAAAACAGAAAATCATGTGGTCCCCAAGATGTTATTGGACTACAAACCCCAGCAGCCCTAGCCAGCACAGCCAATGAGGAAGAATGCTGGGAGTTACAGTATAACACCTGGAAGGCCAGACTGTCCTCCACACATTAAACAAAACTTCAAATAGTATTTTTAACAAG